CTAAAAGTCCATTTTTTTGACGCAGCGTGGTATTGATGTTTTTTAGACTGTCTCGATTTTGTTTTGAAATAGGCAGTGAATCCCTGCGCAGAGTTACTTGCTTATCGAGTGCTTTGAGATCCAGCTTTAAATCAACGGTTCACCCTAAATTGCGTTGTATTCAATTTCAGCTATGCAATGGTTGCTTGTTATATATTAAAGCAGACATGAGCGTATTTGCATACCTGAACAAATTGAAGCTTTTCCTTGACATGTGTCAACACCTGGACAACATTCGTGATTTTTTTACGAAGTTTGAGCAGCTCCTGTATTGTACAAAACTGTAAATATGTACACAACTCTGAACAGTATATTTGTAAGCCTTGACAATATATTACCTCGTTACGTTCCTCGATTTTTTCATTATACGTTTGGTTTTCGATTTTCAACTGCTCAAAATCAATCAAATGAAGTCCATCCGCAAGCTCCTCCTATATATATGTGTGTGTATATGTGTGTATTTGAAATACAATGTTTAGCTGTTGCATTGAATAAAGCCATGCATTTTGAAATACTGTACTTTTTGGCGGAGCAGTTGCTCGTGTCGTCGAAGCTTGTTCCTCAACTTAATATTATCTAGTCTAACTGCCACCACCTCGTTTTCCTTTTTGCGTTCAGTAGATTCGAGTTGGTCTACTATTTTAGTTGGAAGAGGTTTACCCGTGCGAGAGTTTTCAGCATCGAGAGCAATCGATCGCTTATATTTCCAAAACTCGTCCGCTTTGGTCGTCACTTCGTCTAGTCTTTCCTCAAGCTTGCCTTTGTATTCGCCAATAAATTTTTGATTTGCAATGTTTATTGAATTGTATTCTGTTCGGAGTTCATTGAGGGATGACATGCAGTTGGCGTATCGCTGCTCTTGATCTGATACACTTTTTTCTCCGTCGCGTGTGTCGTCGGTCTATTGGATTGTACATGGGTCGTGCATAGTTGAAAGGGTAGTAAATGATGGCAGATGAGTTGTTTAAATCAGGTACACCAGTCAATTTATAAATTTGAAACATATACTTCAAGTCGTATGGATTCGACTCACCCTTTTTTTTTTAAAATACTCGCTCAGCTTGTATTGTAGCATTGAGTTTCGTAAAGATAGCTTGTCTCTGAGTTCCAAGTTTTTTTTGATGGACAATACAATGGCATCTCTGTCAATTTCAATTTCGATCAGAGATTCACTTGGCTGGCGATCTATTGTACTATTGCGATACTCTTGTCCGTCTTGGTTGTCATTGTCCATCATGTCTTGTGTTCCAATTCGCATACTACTGTTCGCGTCATGTTTGATATCATTGCTCTGCCAAGATGAACCAAGATGCTCGTGTTGGTTGTCAATGACATGCTCATTGGTTTGATGATCGGTACAAGTCAATGTAGGAGAAACAGGACGAAGCAAAGCAATTTGCACAGTATTGTGTACGCCCAACATAGTGTCATTAACCATTTCATCAACCGACGCAAATCGAGTCATGTTAGTTGTCAATCCAAACATCAATTCATTTTGATCGAGTTTACATTTCTTGTACAACATTAATTGTCGTGCAACTTTTCCTTTCTTTTTCCTTCCTTCCCTTCCCTTTCTCTCATTTCCTTCTCCTTCCTTTCATTTCCTTTGATGCTTTCAGCAATGTCTTCCACAAAACATCAACCAAACCCAAGAAAGCGACCAATCGACCTTGTAACTCCTGAATTCCCTCCTCTACCTGCCATATCACTGAAGGCAACTGTAGAATTTGCTGCCAAGTCACAAGAAGCTCTGCGTTCGATCCCCACCATTTCTACCAACCTTGCCTCTCTGTTTCTTCCTCTGATTTCTCCTAATCAACTTCAACGGCGATTTAGAGTCGAGGAAAACGCAGTGTTTGTGGTTATGACAAAGTCTTATCCCCTCTTGAAGAACGAACTTGACTCATTTAGTGTAAAAGACTTCTACGGAATTTATGTTCGAGGTCCAGTTGGAGTTGGAAAGAGCTATTTACTGTATTTGCTGGCTGCTGAATATCGTGTGAACCGGGAAAATTACAGAGTCACCTACATCAATGATTGTGCTGCATGGAGAGCATACAAGTTTGGATATATCCTCAGAGAACTTGTCACTACATTTTATGATGATACTATCGAAGAAAAGTCTATCGTGGAATGGTGTCAAGCAGTTACTGAGAGTAACAAAGAAGAAGAAATGATGATGATGATGGAGTCACTTGTCAATTATATTCGCCTGAAGAAGCTTCAATGGATTGTAATTTGCGACCAACACAACGCACTTTTCAATCCTCCGGTGGTCAAGGACTTCCCATTCAACCTCATCAACTACCTTTCCAACCACCAAAACTCGAACATCAAGATAATTGTTTCAGCATCTGCCAACAACGAAGGATATCCTACCGAAATGAAAGATTGGCATACTCACGATCTCTCGAGTCACCGCTTTGACCAAGAAGAATTCAAGGTGTGGTGTGACCATTACTTGCTTGAAGACAACACAAAAGTCGATCACGAATCTGAAGAGGCTATGGATGCGTTGTTCTGGACGGGTGGAGTTCCATACGAATTGAATTTGCTTTGGAAGCAACCAGAAAAATGTTTGATTGAAAAGACAATACTCTATCGAAGGGAACGATTCAGGGATATGGCTTTCAGTCATGGCAAGTTTTACAAAACGTTGATCGACAAGGAGAAAGATAACTTGGCTGAATGTATTTCTCGCATGGCTCTAAGACTATCACCTCCAGAAGGATTGGTCGGAATGGACAGACAAATTTTTGATATCATTGAAGATGGTGATACTGGTCATAAAATCATTACTGCATTGAATCCCGTAGCTCGTCGTGCATTGCTATACTACCACGGTCGTGGTCTTATGACTTCCCTTGGGTTTGTTGCTGAAATTGTTTTGAAAGAAACAGACTATCCCAACAGCATCAAGGGTAAAATTAGCGAAATGTACATCACTACTATGCTGGAATTATCGCAGCTCTTTACTTTTGAATTCAGAAAGATTGCAAATATTGCTAAAATTGGATCACCAGAAGATTCTACTGAAAGAAAGAGTATTGAAATCAAGTCCGTGGTTCGTTTTTTGACAAACAAGCTACCCCCAAAGACATCTTTCCACAAGAACGTCACGAGCTTGTTTGTTCCCGAATCTCCGAATTATCCTAGATTTGATTTCTTTTTGTGGGATTCAAAACGTCAAGTTATGATGGGATTTCAAGTAACAGTTCACAATCCGTTTTCTGATCATCCAAAAATGACCAATTCACAGACATGGCAACGATTTTGCTTTGGTAATTCCAAACAAACCCCGATGGAACTGTATTGGGTTGTACCGAAACGCTGCATTGGAACAGATACTGCATCGGTTGTGAATGATTCTATTATATTGTTTGAAGATTTGATTTCCGATTTTCCTGCGTTAGGAAAGTTGATTCTTCAATAAAATTTGCTTTCATATTCCAGTTTTAATTATTATTTTAACGAGTTCAAGTCGCCAAAG